CCACAGAGAAATCTGATGCATTGTCACAGGTGTTTGCTGTTTCTAGCCCTCTATGCTCTATAGGAGAAAAGTGCGTATAATCCATTAATTTCAGCGTTGATAAGCCTGAAGAAGTACCTGACAGCTACAAATCTCCGAAAGTCCCAGGATGGCCGGTGTGGGTGTCTTGGGTCATGGCTGATCACCCTCCCCTTGCATATCATGAAATGCCCCTATACAACCAAGCGTTTCAAACAACCTTTACTGAGGAAGCCCTACCCACTACCTTCTCGCGGCGATTTTCTGACCAAAGTGAAAGGATGAAAATCAGCCGTCGTCCGGTTTCATACCACGCTTATCCTGGCGGGGCCTTAAATGGTTCGCTACTCTAAGTCCCGTTGCTTAGGTTGCTGGTTTCCATCACGGAATAGCAGGTTTACGTGATCATGGAGTTCTCCCAGTCTACTATTATTCACACACAAAAAATTTTGGGTCTATGGCAGGGCAGTTCACCCAGGGGTGTTAGCCAAGAACGCTGATTTCAAACCAACCAAGAACGAACCAAACCCACCCACACCTTCCTGGTTTTGGCAGTGGACATCGAGGTGTATTAGGCGTCTCAGACGTTTGACCCCATCTAAGGGGCGTATGATCCCAATGGATGGTGGTTTTCGCACACCATCATCATCGCACAGCGAGATACAGTGAAGTGAGCTTCACTGATCACTGCCACCACTGCCTTACGGGTCAGGCTTTGGCCAGTCAAAGGCTCCGGTTGTGAATTCCCCGATGAAATTCGCATAGAACCGGTGACACTCCTCCAGTCTTCCTTCCTCCGCTCCCACGATTCTGTTTGTGAATTTAAAAACGAACCGTTCGTGGTCCCCGTGCGTTCCAGAATGGTATCTCGTAAGGCCTGGGAGGTTGCATCCCCGGGCATTTCTAAAACCACGTCTAAAACTGCGGTAGCCAGGTGTTCTGACAGCGATGATACGACATGATGGAACTGAGTCCTTGAATATTTGAGGTTAAGAGTCGCAAAGTGGAATTCAAAGACCGTAAACCAAGCCCCAGGGTAAGATACCCCAAACAGCGGGGGTCGGCAAGTGGCAGTCACTACAGGGCAACTTTCAGCGGTTTAATGACATGAATAACCCTAACAGCATATGTACCTTTGCTTGGATCGTGTTGTTTTACCGGACCAAGACCAGCCAGTTGGTCACCGCCCGTTGGCTTTCACTGCCCTGCACAACCTAACCAAGTCAGGAATACGAGCCTCCGTAAGGCTTGTGACAGAAAATTTCATCTGGCCTAAGACGAACCACAATGTGGCTGCATGGGCACGTTCTTATCGAATGGTCACATTGTAAGATTCTATGTCACACTAAGACACCGTTAGGGATTTCTGGCACCCCAACCACCCGTTTGCAACACATCCACATCGATTTAGTGGGGTCACTACCACCTTCAGGCGTTTTCACATACCTACTGACTCATGTTGATCGTTTTTCGCTTAGATCAGATTCAGTTCCACACTTAAGTTGCTCATCCGAAACAACAGCTACGGCGTTTCTGGAGCTTTGGCTAGCAACATATAGACACCCGGTGACCAACAATGCAGATAGGTTCCCATTTTCAAGGTGCTTTCAAGAGATTATTCATTATATTAGGGTGCAAAGATGTTTGCACAACTGCATATCATCTGGCCGCAAATTACCTGAAGAAAAGCATTTCCAACAAAGCCTCAAGACAGCCCTGAATGCTCACCCAAATCAGAATGGCATGCGGTTCCTTTGTTTGTTCTTTTAGACATTCAGAACACGATAATAGTCGACTTGCACACTTTTTACTACACAATTAAGTGTGGTGAACAGTAGACAGGGTGAACCCCATAGTCACGAGGACCTGCTGTTTCTTAGTGGTGGAAACCGGCAACCTAAGCCTCGGGACTTGGAGTGGCGAACCACATAAGGCCCCGAGGGGTTGGGCGTGGTATTGAACCGGACGACAGCAGAGCTGCCTACCACCAAAGTCGGGTGGCGGTGGCGGGGCTCGAACCTTGAACTACAGGGTCCAAAGCACTGCACCACCACTACACCAACGGTCCTGACCATCGGCTTTGCATTAAGCCTTCCAGGGAAATTTGTTTCGCCTAA